CCCGCTGAGGGGGAGTTCCCCTCATCCCCCAAACCCCGGGGCTTGTATATAGATTATAAATATATAAGGGGGAAAGGGGTAGGTGGGGAGGGGTTGTGGGGCTGGGGCCTCGCTTCCCCTCCTCCCCCTTCCCCTGGTCCCCTATCCCTGGGGCTGTTTGTTAAAAAAGAATAATAAAAGGATTAAAAAAAAATTAATTCAAAATGATTTTGGGGATAGGTTAATTTGTTCACATTGTTACATCATAATACAGTGCTAAATGATTTGTCACAAGACTATTAATCCAGTTATCTGTTGTAACAAACTACCTCAAAATTCAAACCACCACATTTTATTGCATCTTAAAGTTGAATGGGTTAGGAATGTGGGCAGAGTCTGACAGCTGGACTAATCCCAATAGGGCTTCATTTGCATATTGCCCTCAGCTAGCTGGGATACCTGGGAGGTGGAGCCCCACTGGACCATCAGCCCTTGGTTCTACATGGCCTAAAGTATTGTCAATCTTCTTAAATATCTGGGCCAATGTCCTAAGAGACCGAAGTGGGAGCTGCAGAACCTATGACCTGACCTTAGAACACCCCTTACCACATTCTGTTGAAATAGCATTGTACTAAAAGAGGAGGAAACTAAATGTCCATTGCTCAAAAGTGGTGGCAAGATTTGTAGCCATGTCCCACTTTGGTCCACAATAACATTATTAAGGAGCTCCACCCCAGAGGCAAGAAAGGGAAGGAATGACAGGGACAAGAAAATGGCAGGATCCAGGTAAGGGAGGGCAGAGGGGTTTTGAGTAGTTACGGAAAACAAACTTGTCTGTCAGTTTGTTATACTGTGGTGGCTTGGGTGTTGCTGTGAGGCTTGAGGCTGTGCCACCAGTGTTTGAAACACCAGGTTTGCACATGGTGCACAGGTTTCAGTGCAGCCTATAGACTGACAGACTAGGAAGAAGGAAGAGCCCAGCCACTTCTCAAAGAATTGGCCATGGAAAACCTTATCAATAGCAGAAAAACCATGTCTAATACATTATTGGGCAACTTTGAATAACCTGGAAACAGTATCCAATACAGTGCAGGAAGACAGATCTCTTAGGTTGGAAAGCACTCAAAATGTGACTGGGGAAGAGCTACCTTAGAGTAGAACCGACCTTGATACAGATAAAAGCTTTCAAGGCCTCCATTTGCTAACATGGCACAACTCAAATTGAGAAACAGCTGCAAACATCCTTTAATAATTGGAACATGGCATGTACGAAGTATGAATCTAGGAAAATTGGAAGTTGTAAAAAATGAAATGGAGTGCATAAAGATTGATATCCTAGACATTAGCTGAAATGGACCGATTTTGGCCAATCTGAATCAGACAACTACATGATGTACTACCCCAGGAATGACTATTTGAAGAGGAATGGTGTGGCACTGATCATCATCGCAAAGGATGTTTCATGATCTGTCCTGAAGTGCAATGCTGTTAAGATAATATCCATACGCCCACAAGGAAGACCAGTTAATAACACTACTATTCAAATATACAGACCAAACAGCAAAGCCAAAGATGAGGAAATTGAAGATTTTTATCAACTTCTACAGTCTGAAATTGACCAAACACACAATCAAAATGCGTTAATTATCACTGGTGACTGGAATGCAAGAGTTGGAAACGAATCACTGGTACTTGGAAAATTTGGCCTTAGTGACAGAAATAACACTGGAGATTGCATGATAGAATTTTGCAAGACCAACAACTTACTCATTGCAAATACCTTTGTTCAACAAAACATAAAACAAACAGCTATATACGTGGACTTCACCAGGTGGAGTAAACGGGAATCAGATTGACTACATCTGTAGCAAGAGGTGATGGAAAAGCTTACTATCTACAGCCAAAACAAGGCCAGGAGCTGATTGTGGAATAGACCATCAACTGCTCATATGCAAGTTCAACTTGAAGACAATTAAGTCCATGAGAGCCCAAATATGACCTTGATTATATATATCCCTCCTGAATTTAGAGACTATCTGTGGATTTGATGCATTGAACACCAATGACCGAAAACCAGAATAATTGTGGGATGACATCAAGAACATCATCTGTCCATGAAGAAAGCAAGAGGTCAGTAAAAAGATGAGAAAAGAAGAAAACACCAAAATGGATGTCAGAAGAGACTGAAACTTGCCCTTGAATGGAGAGTAGCTAAAGCAAATGGACAAAATGACAAGACAAAAGAGCTGAACAGAAGATTTCAAAGAGCAGCTTGAGCAGACAACAACAATCACTATAATGAAATGTGCAGAGACCTAGAGTTCAAAAACCAAAAGGGAAGAACACATTCAGCATGTCTCAAGCTGAAATAATTGAGGAAAAAAATTAAGCCTTGAATTGCAATATTGCAGGATTCTATGAGCAAAATATTGAATGATGCAGGAACCGTCAAAAGAAGATGGAAGGAATACACAAACTCACTGTATCAAAAAGAACTGGTAGATCTTCAGTGGTACTGAAGGAAGAAGTCAAAGCTGCACTGAAGGAATTGGCAAAGAACAAGGCTCCAGGAATTGACAGAATACCCACTGAGATGTTTCAACAAACAGATGCCCGCTGGAGGCACTCACTCAGCTATGTACCCATTCCAAAGAAACGTAATCCCACAGAATGTGGAAATTACCGAACAACGTCATTAGTATCACATGCAAGTAAAATCTTACTGCAGACAATATAAAAACAGTTGCAGTATTGACAGAACTTCCAGAAATGCAAGCTGGATTCAGAAGAAGATGTGGAATGAGGGGTATCATTGCTGATGTCAGATGGATCTTGGCTCAAAGAATACCAGAAAGATGTTTGTGTTTTATTGACTATGCAAAAGCATTTGATTGTGTGGATCATAACGAAAGTGGATAACATTAAGAATGAGAATGCCAGAACACTTAATTGTACTCATGAGGAACCTGTACATAGACCAGGAGGCTGTCGTTTGAATAGAATAAGGGGACACTGCACATTTTTTAAATCAGGAAGGGAGTGCATCAGGGCTGTATCCTTTACCACACTTACTCAATCTATATGCTGAGCAATTAATCCAAGAAGCTGGACTATATGAAGAAGAACATGGTATCATGATTGGAGGAAGAATCATTAACAACCTGAGATACACTGATGACACAACTTTGCTTGCTGAAAGTGAGGATGACTTGAAGCACTTACTGATGAAGAAGACTGAAGAATACAGTCTGAAGTATGGATTACATCTCAATATAAAGAAAACAAAAATTCTCACAACTGGACCAATAAGCAGCATCACAATAAATGGAGAAAAGATTGAAGTTGTCAAAGACTTCACATTGTTTGAGTCTACAATTGACACCAACAGAAGCAGCAGTCATCAGACAATGTAACATATGTTGTTATGTGCCGTCGAGTCGGACCCGACCCATAGCAACCCCTCCTTGGGTTTCTGAGGCAGTATCACTACGGAAGTAGATTGCCCCATCTTCCTTCTGAGGAGTGGCTGGTGGGTTTGAACTGCCAGCCTTCTGGTTAGCAGTCAAGTGCCTTAGCCACTATGCTACCAGAGCTCCCCTATGTAACATATAGCACTGGGCAAATTGGCTGCAAAGGACCTCTTTCAAGTGCTAAAGAGTAAAGATGTCTCCTTGAGGACTAAGGTGCACCTGACACTAGCCATGGATTTTCAATCACCTCATCATATGCATGGGAGAGCTGGACAATGAAAAAGGAAGACCAAAGAAATTGCACCTGACACAAGCCATGGTATTTTCAATCACCTCATATGCATGGGAGAGCTGGACAATGAATAAGGAAGACCGAAGAGTTGATGCTTTTGAGTTGTGGTGCTGGCAAAGAATGCTGAAAATAACACAGACTGCTAAAAGAACTAACAAATAGGTCCTGGAGGAAGTACAGCCAGAATGTTCTTTGGAAGGGAGAATAGCCAGACTTCATCTCACCTACTTTGGTCACATTATCAGAAGGGACCATTCCCCTGGAGATGGACGTCAGGCTTGGTAAGGTGGAGGGTTGATGAAAGAGAAGGCCTTCAACGAGATGGACTGACACAGTGGCTGCAGCGCTGGGCTTGAGTATAGCAAGGGTCACGGAGATGGTGCAGACCAGGCAGTGTTTCATTCTGCTGTGGATAGGGTCGCTATGAGGCAGAGATGACTCTGGCACCTAACAACATGGTGGTCATTGCCTTGATAGCCAAGCTCATCACCAGGGAACTTGTAGAACTGGATACAGACCCAGTGGTGGGTGTGAGTTGGCTGAGTTCCATGTGGTGTAGCTGCCTACTAGGCATGCTAAGACTAGGTTTGCAGCTACTTGATTAAAAGGTTGACTGCTGGCTAATTTGAGAGCCCTATCCTACGAATAATTCTGGCGGCACAGTGGATAAGGCATTTGGCTGTCAAGCAATAGGTCAGCAGTTCAAACTACCAGCCGCTCCACAGGCAGAAGATGGGGCGATCTACTTCTGTAAAGATTTACAGCTTCTGAAATTTGCTGTATGTCACTGAGTTGGAACCAACTTGATGGCAGTTGAGTTTGGTTTGGTATCCTAGCATGTACCTGGAATAGGTTTCTTCTCTCTCTCAAAACTCAGGTCTTTTACAGGCAAGATGCTTTTGTAAGTTTCCTGAAAATGTTCAACTGTCAAAACTTGGCTATTTCGGTGTTGTACTACAGAAGGAGACACACTAGTACATACATGTTTGTAGGGAGATGCTAAAAACTTAATGGTATAGCTAGGTTCCTATTGTGTGGCAGAATGGATTCTAGACTTGATTGTGATGACAGAATGTCCCACAGGATTTCCTAGGGTGTGATCTAAGGGAGTTGACTGTCAGCTCTTTTCTCCCTCCAACAGCGGACCTTTCAGGTCGCAGTTGAGTGCTTAATCATTGTGCAACTAGGCTGGGTTTCTAGGGAGTTATTTTAAAAAGTTCATACAAGATTAAAGGATTTAGAGTACTTAACAACAATTTAGAGACTGAAGAGCCAGAAAATCCGACCTTTATTTCTTAAATACTGTGAAGGAAGTGGGGGGAAACGGTCCCCTGATGAGGCAGGACCATAGAGCAAAGAACTAAGGATCATCAGCAAAGGCCCGGTGGGCATTGGGGAAACGCTGGGGGCTGTAGTTGGGGTCTTCCTGCAGTCGCTTTTGTATGTCAGACCGGAGCTAGAGGAAGAGAGAGCAGACAAGTTGGAGAAACACTGGCTGAAGCTCTCTGGTCCCAGCAAGTATTTAAGTCCATCCCTTGGGAACTAACACTCCCCCATCAGCCACACACAAGCTATCAAAGCCCAAAAGGCATCACTGGGTCTTCCCAATGCCACTAGGAAAATACACTTTAACAATATGAAGTGGTAGCCCCAAACTGACAAGTTCATCTCTGAAAGGAGGGATAAAAGGGACCCTAGCCCAACCCCTCCCACTACACCATCCCTATTCTGCTTCAAGATGGGGGCACCTGCTGCCTGTAGCTCTCCTGAACCTCTGGTGCCTCCAGGTCCCGGCTCAGGCTCTCTGGGCTCGTCAGGGGCCGAGCTCCGGCTGCCTTAGCTGCCCGGCTCACGGCCTCTGACAGAAGCAGCTGGGGGCCCTCACCCTGCATCGTCTGAGGCACGGGGTTGGGGAGGGAAAAAGAGGATCAAGGTCAGATCTAATGCCACCACCCAGCTCACCCTTTCCATGAGTCAACCACTGAGTCTCCATGCTAGTGGAGAGAAGGGAAACAATCCACAGGTGGTTTTCACAACAGAAATACCTTCCTAATTCTTTCTGGCTCTGGCCAGAAAGTGTTCAGATGTGCTGAACTTGCTTTTCAAAATAAAGAGGAATGGGACAGGCCAAGCCAGCCAGGATTCAGTGTTCACTCATCAATCACATGAGAAGCCCTCCTTAAGGAAAATGGGCAGAGTCACTTGTGAATTAGGAAGCTGACAGACTAAGACAGGACTGCTAAAAAACAGAATAAGGCAAAGTCCTGTGTGGTTTAAGAACCTTGAACAAATAAAAGTCCCAGAAATATTTCCTCATCAACTGAAGGAGACTAAAGGAAACATTCCTTCCAATTTTAAAGAGTTTGAGTCTAAGCATGACAGGGAATTTAGGTAAAGAGGAATCCTCAGGAAAGAGGCAAACCAACCTTGCGTCTTTTGGCAGGCATACCGCTGAGGTAGGCATCACTCAGGGGGGGTTGGGGTTTCACCTTCCGTTGGCTCTGAATGTCCTGCTGGATAATGGGGACCCATTCCTAGGGTAGAAAATAAGGCAAGTGAAGTAGTGCTTCCCAAAACTCAGCTGCCCTGGCCCACCAGGTCACCTCCTAACACTTACTGGTGGGACTGCAGCTGCCCAAGGTTCTGTCTCAGCTGCTGCTCCATCCTGCTCATCTCGGGAGCCCCCTTCAGGGGCAGGGGGTGGGCCTCGGGACATGACCTCTTCGGCTGTTGTTCCTGGGGCTGGGGAAGCATTCTCCCGCTGCGAGTCAGAAAGCAGGAAGATCCAGGCTGCAGAATTCTCAGCCTCTAGTCATCTTGCTCTAGCCCTCCACATTATCTGACCCCTCAACCTCTCCCTAGTACCTGGGGCTCAGGAGAAGTTCTCTCTGCTCCCTGAACTTCCATTGGCTCCTCAGGAAGAACCTGTGAAATTGGAAGGAGACCAACACAAAAGGCCCTCTCAGATCTCTCCAGTTCCCTCCAGTCCCCTGGTCCCACAGCCCATGAATTATGTCCCTTACCTGGGGGGGGTCACCAACCCTGCGAACATATCTAAGGATGGCATCAGGGCCTACAGGCATATGCTCTAGTACCACCTGAAGCCGCAGTCCCATCATAGTGGTCAGCCAGCTCACCAAGGATGGATTCACCCCACGAGACATGCGGCGCTGAGAGAAAGAAAACAGGCCAGCACATAAACAAAACCCCAACCAGCCTCTGAAAACTAGATCCAGGGTGTAAGATAACAGTTTGGAGGAGAAAAAAAGAAAACTGTAAGATACTAAAGAGAATGGAAACCTGAGGAAGCAGGGATGGATGGTGCTTACGATTCGGCCATTGATGACGGAGGCAAGTTCCATCTGCTGTCCCCCTAAGCAGTGCAGGTTCAGCGCCAGGCATTCAAACAGGCCCTGGTTACACAACTCTAGCAACCGGGCCCCAAATCCACTGTCTGTGGGCAAGACAGGAGGTAATGAAAGCTAGCATCTGGCCGCCCTACCCCTCCAGCACATCCCATGTGCCCTGGTCCAGCCACTCTGACCTGTGCAGTGCAGTACGTGGGCAGCAATGCTATTAAACTGCTCCTGGAGAAATTCCAGGTTTGTCCGGATAATATCCACACCTGGCTGAACCTGCACCAAAGACTAAGCAACAAAACACACAAAGATCCCAAAATCAGGACCGCTAAGCGATCAGGAGTCAAAAAGGAGGGAGGTAAGGAATAGCAGCCACCCTGACCAGGCCAGAAAAAGAGGGAAAGTGGGGAGAACTACTCACAAAACTCTCCCGCACATATTCCTCTAGCCCAGTGATCAATGTGTGGGTTGCCGTCTACAGGGGGAACAACACAGGTTTAGTCCCAAGTCCCACTCCTCAAGACACTTCCCTGCTACCACCCCACGGTTTAGGCAGCTTTAACTGACAGATAAGCAGAGCCAGGAATAAGGAATTGAAGGTGAAAGAGAAAATGGCTCTGGGGCCCAGGGCTTTCATTTACCCGGATGTTACCAGATGTGGGTTCCTGGCCACCCAGATAGTGCTGGTGGAAGAAGGATCGCAGCTGAGGCTGGAGTCGCTGTAGCGGCTGGAAATGCCCGTGGAGAAGCATTACCACATCCACCATGGAGAAGTTCTGGCACAAGAGAGAGAGCAGAGCCCCGAAAAATCCTAGGGGCAAGAGCTGAAATTAGCAATGACCTTCACCACCTGGCCTGCCCAGCCATCAGCCTCACCCCATTTTGGGAATACCCTCTAAACAAAGACTATCTATAGTCCTCTGGTTGCCCCTTCTTGAGGAAGGCCAAGGTACCCCCCTTATGCTCACCAAGGGCCCCATCAGCCCCAGGCTCAAAGATGTTGCTGGATCCACTGAGGCGTTGTATGAAGGCAGCAATACTTTCACTGCTGCCAGCCCGGGCTCCCAAGGAGCCTAGCAGGGAGCTCAGCACACCCTGCACCACTGAGGTGAAAAACTCCGGTGGCAGACTCTCAGGACCCAGGCCCCCAGGACTCCCTGCACCTCCAGAAGGGGAGCCTGCTGGGGGTGTGGCCTGCTGCTCTGGGGCAGGGGGTGGCGGTGGAGGAGGTGGAGGAGGTGGAGGGGCCGTCTGTGTTGCCTGGCAAGCAAAGAAGCAATAAAATACAGAAAGTTAGGTGAGAATTGGCACAAGGACATAAAGTGGTAGCAGGAGAGCACACATCAACAGGTGTCTAGGAAGTGGGGACTTAAAGTCTGGTCATTACTCCTCAAAGCCAAATACTCATAAGCAAGTTCAAGAGCAGGGTTCAATGGGAGGGTTAGGAGCAACAAGCCCTCCACTTCTGAATGGGTAAAATCATGAAACAATAACATTAATTACAGTACTTTTCTCTCTCTGAATCTTATTTCCCCCTCTTCAAATTGGAGGGCTCAGAGTCAATGAATTTCCAGAGTTCCTTCCCACTCTGGCATGCCACCAGGGGGCTGCAGCATAGTAGTTGTATAATGGCAACTAGGTACCACTGACTGACTAAGGGAGAGAAAGGCTGAGGTAAAGGTTAAACCAGGTACTCACCTGCAGGAAGTCAGTCATGCCCTGAAGAAAGGCAGGGACACCAGGCATTGCCACGGTGATGGTAGGGGAAGCCATGCCAGGCCCTCCAGCCCCTGGCCCTGCTGGTCCCAGGAGGTTCCCCAGGAGCTGAGAGATCTGAAGATCGGCTGCGGAGGGTTGAGGGGGTGGAGGCTGGGCAGGACCCCCAGGGGCAGGACCAGCAGTGGTAGCTGTGTTGGTGGTGCCGGCACTGGCTGAAGCTGTGGCAGGGGCTGGAGGTGGAGCCATTCCTGGGGTCCCTTGAGCTGCAGGGACCAAAGGGAGAAAACTGAAATCTGAAGAAAAACAAGACACCACAGCACGACCCACTTATGATCTTTCCAGCAGGAAAGCAAAAACAAAGCAAATACAGAGAGAAAGAACTTGAAAGTGTCAGTGAGCAAACGAGGAAGGGAGTGTCAAAACTTCAAAGAAGTGGAAACCCCAGAGTTTGAAGTGGGGAAGAGTGACACTTACCCACAAGGACCGGCTGCATAAGAAGCTGCCCCACGAGGCCGCTCACCATCTGGGCCAAAGAGGCATTGGTACCCAGCCCAGTGCCCTGCTGGAAGAGAATAGAGAAAGACTGTTAGTCTTCCCTTTGCCATTCACTATACAGGATTCTCCCCCAGACTCCTCCCACTGGAACCCTCCCCTCTACTCACCAGCGCCCCAGAGACCGGAGGACCCCCAGGATGAGAAGGGCGAGCCTGTGGAGGTGTGGGCCGAGCAATCACCACCCGGGTCGGAGCTGTTGGGAAGCCTGGCACCTGCTGTCCTGTGGGTGACAGAGGAGAGACCAAAGAGGGCTGAAGGCTGGGCCCTTGCCCACCCAACCAACAGTACCCACCATCTTGGACCATGCCCCACCTCCCAGGCCTCCCCTTCCAGCTCATTACCTGTGGCCGCGGAGGCAACAGCTGCCACCATGGCCTGATGAGTGATCTGGTGGGCGACGGCGTGCATGAACTCAGGGGGCAGGGAGGGCAGCTGGATGAGGGTGGAGCCTGGGGGGCGGGTCTGATGTAACCTTGAACCTGGACCCCCTTCAACCCACCCACTCGGCCCTGCCCCTTCTCTACCCAGAGCTCAACCTGCTCTGATGCCCTTACTCTTACCCAGAGTTTGGCCATGACCAGGGGGTCCAAGGGGGCCAGTGGGAGCATTTGGAACTCCACCAGTTTGTGTGCCAGAATCTGGATAGGAAGACAGACAGAGAGAACAGCACTGAAGTGAGCTGGGTGAGGCCTATCAGCATCCTCCCAAGATCAGTCATCCTCCAAGTCGCAATCCCCTGACCAGAAAGCATACATTTCCCTTCTTTCCCTCTCATACATACTTTCTACTACTCTGGTCCCTAGGTTACCATCAGCTCCAGCCTGGCCCTTCTCCATTCTCACTCCCTCACCCCACAACACCAACTTCACCTGCCCTCCTCCTACTACTATTCCCTGCCAGGTCCTAACTCACCTTGAATGTTCATGTGCATCATGACCACGGGTTCCACACTCTGGTGGGAAATGCGAATGACCCTTGGGTGGCTGGCAGCTGGCGGGGGAGCTGGGCCCTGGGGGGGTACCCCCTCAGTTGAGGACTCAACAGTGGTAGACGAGGGAGCCAGGGACGAGGCCTGCCCAGGACCAGAGGGAGGTGCCTCCGCGTTTGCAGCCTGGGGGGGCCGAGTCCCATTCCCTGTCATGGTCACAGTCGTCCCCACATTGATCTGGAGAAGACAGACAGACACACAGGCAGAAGTAAGAAAAACATAAAAGCCCAAACAGAAGACCTGTTAAGATTTCCCCAAGGCTTCATATCAATGTTTCTTAAGTCTCCTCCTCTTTTAACGTCCTTCAAACCTAAGAGCCACCCTGGGTTTACCTTCCACAGTCCCTCTAGCCAGGCTCTCTGGCCCACCTGGATGGGAATAGCTGCCTGCTGGAGCACCATGGGGGTGGTGTAGTGAGACATGGGCCGGACCACATGCAGGTGCCGTGGGGGTGCACAGGCCAGGTTGCAGCGCAGGTCAGACAGTGCCACAAAGGTGTTGCCCAGCAACCGCAGACTTTCCCCCACCAAATTGATCAACCGCTGGTCCTCCTCACGGCCCTCGTGCTGTATGCCACACCAAACAGAGAAACAGAGACTATCATTGCAGGAACTTACCTCACTAAAAAAAGAATTAGTGTTTTCTGAAGGGGCCATGCCTCTAAACCTCAGTCCCATGCTTGAGAGCTTCTGGGTAGACCAAGTCTTTCCAAGTTATGTTTCAGATGCACAAAGAATTTCCTATTAAGCTCTACAGTGAACCAGTAAGTCAATACCCACTGATCTCTCTTGCTTCATAAGCTCCCTAAAAAATTCACTTAGAAAAATAGTACAATGATAGTACTACCCTCCCTACAAAAAAAAAAAAAAGAAATGATCGACTTGCATATTTAAAACAAGACATTTCATTGCAAGCAATGCCTTTTTTGGGGAGGTGTGGAATATCTATATTCCAGCCTGTTCTATTCAGGGAGTTCTGGGGTGAGGTGTGGGAGGGCTCACATTGTTGTTATAGTCCGTGGTGGCGGCAGCACCCAGAACTTCATAATAGCGCTGGAGGAAGGGCTGGAGGCGGCTCTCTAGCCGCTGCAACTCCTGGAGCACCTCGACATACTCCGTGGGGGAAGGATGGCTGTGGGGAACCCCAAGACACAGTGAACCAGGGCTTTCCTCAGACTCCCAATCTTGCTGTCAACAGGGACCACACATCTGCTCTGTCTCTCCCTGGCCTCCCAGACCACAAACCCAATCCCTTCCTGGAGTAATAGAGATTCTGTGCTTTGCCACCCTCCTACTTCCTCAGGAAAATGTGGAGAAGATACTATCTAGCCTCTCCACCGCACACTCCTATATAGCAGAGATGGGGCCCGTGTGAACCGAGGGGAGACACTGGAATAGGCAGGTGACACAGCAGTGCCTCTCCGCAGCTGCTAGTCCTATCTTATTCACCTACAACCAGAGCCCTTCCCGCCCCTCACAGCTGGCCTCACAAGTAAGACCTCCAGGCAATCCTTCCCTCCCATCACACCTTTCTTAGTTCCCATACTTCATTTAGGAACCCCCACCCATGTAGGTGCCCTGTCTCTTACTTGGGCGCATTTGTCTCTGGGACAGGTGTCGGGCCTGCAGGGGCTGGACCAGAAGGGGTGAGCTCTGGGCTCTGAGCTGGGGCGTGCTCCTCTACTTCTTCTGCCTCCATAGGCTCCCGAGGAGGGGCTTCACTTTCGACAGGTTCTGACTGAGAGCTCAAAGCTACTGGCTCTGGGGCGGCAGTGGGCATCTGTGGAGGCGGCTGACTGTGCTGGGCCTGGGGCCCCCCTTGACACTGAAGATAGGGGACAGTCAGGACACAAAAGGCAGGATCAGACCACTGTAGAACACTACTCTGGTCCAAAGAGACTGAGGGAGAATATACTCTCACTAGGCTTCTCGAAAGCAGGGCTTTGCATCTAGATCTTTGACTCCTCAGCAATTAATAAAAGACTTACACAAATTATGTACACAGTAAGTATTTATAATGTTTGAAAACAAATTACTAACAAATAATAGAAATTGTGATTTCCCAATTTCCTTGAGAAAAAAGTGAAAGGCAACAGGTTCCAGCTACAATATCAACTAATAAAATTACAAGGTCCTGATTATTAACTATGATAATTAGAAAATTTAAAAAAGTGGAATCATTTTCTAACGGGAAGAAAAGATAATATGAGAATTATCTGAAAAGTCTGAAACAATCTTCCCAGACACCAGGCACACCAAGAGGTTTGGCAGGAACAAGATAGCCTCACAAAGATACTTTTCCTGCTTGAAAGAATGAATACTGCAGAGGAGAGAGGCAGACAGAACCCTATGAATATAACCAGTCATGCCACTAACCCTAGGCTAAGAGGGAAAAAGGGTGCACAGAGAGACAGAAAGACCCTACCTAGCCCTGCCCACTTACCTCCATCCGGGACAACAAGGTCTGTATATCCCTGATCATGTGCTGAGCCATCACCAGCCGAACACGGGGCTCACTCTATGGTTAAGAGGAGGGATGATCAGGGTAGCTCTGAGATGAAGTCACGAGCTCTACCACCTACTAAACCAGGCCCAGTCATCTCCTCAGTCAGGTCCACCCCACCTCAAGGCCTCCTTCTCCCAGATCCCCTTCCCTGACCCTCCCAGGCCCCCTGATACCTGAATTGGGGCCTGTTCCATGTTGATGTGAACATCCACAGCAGAGCCGTCACTCTGGGGAAAGGGTAAGGGAAGTTGCTCTGGGAGAAGCCAAATACTAAGGCCCCCACACTGCCAACTCAATTTCTGGAGCCCTGCCACCCTGTCCCCTCAAAGATCGAGGCCAACATCAGATCACAGGGGCCTCCAAACCCAATCTACAGAATAAGACACCTATCTTACAACCTCCCTGCTACTACCACAACTAAATCTACCCTTTACCCACAAAAACCCTCCCAAGTGGAACATAAGCTTACGGGAAGGTTGAACGTTCCAACCATGACATAGCTGTTGGCATTCCGGTCATGAACAGAGGCCCCAGGTCCCCGAGTACCAGGCGGGGGTCCTCCACCATGGGTAGTTGAGGGAGACCCTGTCCCAGAAGATGCTCCAGAAGAAGGAAGCTGAGTCTGAGGAGGAGCCCGTTCCACTAGATGGATAACCTTTCCTCCAACATCTATAGGAGATAAAAAAGATACATACCAAAACACTGTATGATCAGGTAAACTTCTGCCCATCCCACTACACAACAACCTCAACCTCTGACTGCCATCTCCCACCCCCTTACTGTATTCCTGGAGCTTCTTATCATCCTGCAGAACACGCCCCTGGTAGATGAGCCTTTGTTTCTCAGAGGGGATGCTAACAGAGGCAGCAATGTGTTCCTTAAACTCTTTTACATTCATCTGCCAGGAGAAAAAAAATCAAGAATAGGAATCAGGGAATGGAGGAAAAAGAAAGAACAGAAAAGTGATAACTAATTCATGGGAGCAAGGGTAAAAATCATAAAATCACTTCCCCATCCTGTCTCGCCTGTGAGACTGTTACTATGCAAATATCTGAGAAAATACCTGTTAAGATACAGACAAGAAAATTTAGGGAAGCTCAGGTTTTAAGCCCAAAAAAGAATCACACGACCGAGAAACAGAAATGCTAATCAACATTCCTCTCTCTCCTCCTATGCTTGGCTCCGAAAAAAGAGAATATATGTGTCAAGATACCAGAGAATCACCCTTCCGCAAACACAAAATGATACCACGAGTTTATTTGCGACAAACAACCCTGTAATCTCAAAAATAAGAGAAATAACAAGGAAGACAAGTGAAGAATCTGATTAAAGGAAGACCCAACCAAGGAGTAACTAAGAAAACCAAACCCAATGCCACTGAATAGATTCCAACTCATAGAAACCCTACAGGTCAGAGGAGAACTCTTTCCCTTATGGGAGGGAAACCCCCATAGGATTTCCAAGGCTGGAAAGCAGGCTGCCTCTTTCTACCATGGAGGGGCTGATGGGTTCGAACCATTCAACTTTGGTTAGTAGTTGAATGCCTTAACCGTTGTGCAACCAGAAAAAAGAAAAAAAAAAAAAAAAAATCCTAACAACAGACTCTTAGGAAGTACCACAATGTTTACATAAACCTATGACAAAAGCCCACTTTTTTTTTTTTTTTTTAAAATACTACATATAATCAAAGGAGCTCTGGTAGCATAGTGCCTAAGGCACTTGACTGCTAACCAGAAGGCTGGTGGTTCAAACCCACCAGCCACTCCTCGGAAGGAAGATGAGGCAATCTACTTCCGTAGTGATACTGCCTCGGAAACCCAAGGAGGGGTCGCTATGAGTCAGGTCTGACTTGATGACACATAACAACAACAACAACAACAACAACAACACATATAATCATGTTGTAAAAACCCATGGGCCAAACTGCTCACGATTTTGTCTCCAAGCATCCTAAGAGTAAGGACATAGACAGCTGTATCCATGAAATTAAACTCAAGAAACTGAAATTAAAATTATACCACAAATATAAGTAATTCCACTCAGAAGTCTATTTGGGCTCTACTTCCATTACAAGCTCTGACTTCTAGCCTAAAAACTATGGTTTAGACCTGACCAATTTTCATCTTTAAGACATACTTTTGTTTTGGGTCTTTGTGCTCTGTTTCTCTTACCAAAGGCAGGAGCCATGTCTGCTTCTTTGGGCTGACATACATCTATAATGATGGTACACTAACTGCTCCTTTCTCTGTATCTCCCTCTGCAATGAATGCTGAAGAAGTGGAGGAAGGCAGAAGATCTGCCTCACTCATCAGAACCGTATCTTTTCAAACAAGAAACATCAGAAATGTTCTGCACAGAGTCTGAACAAACAGATCAATGACAAGAAATTTGGAGGACCAGATTATCAGCTCTAACCAAACCAAAGGGAGCTCTAGTAGCATAGTGGCTAAAGCACTTGACTGCTAACCAGAAGGCTGGTGGTTCAAACCCACCAGCCACTCCTGGGAAGGAAGGTTGGGCAATCCTACTTCCGTAGTGATACTGCCTCGGAAACCCAAGGAGGGGTCGCTATGAGTCGGGGCTGACTCGACGGCAAATAACCACCACCACCAAACCAAAACCAAACTCACTGCCATGGAGTTGATTCCAATCATAGCAACCCCTTCTGGGTTTCCTAGGCAGTAAATCTTTACAGAAGTAGACTGCCCAGTCTTCCTTCTGCAGAATGGCTGGTGGGTTTGAACTGCCAACCTTCTGGCCTTACGCACTATGCCACCAGAGCTCCTTTCCCTTAGACTACGGTGCCTACAAAAGAAAGAGCTAATCAGTATCTTCCAAAAGTAGTGGGGTCTCACCTGGGCCCCCACAATAAAGGTCCGAGTCTGAGAGTCCAGGGTCTTCACCAGCACCTCCAGGCTGTCAGGCTCCTCCATAGTGGTACTGGTACTATCATTGGGCTCCATGGCCGACAGCTCTCTAGGGAAGAATGGAGGGAGGTCCGCTGTTGAAGGTAGCGAATTTTACATACCCGGAAGCCTCCCCAGCCTAAGTCCCCGCCCCAATATCTAAAAAGTTTCTCCCACACAAACACACGCTCTCACACCCGCCCCCATCCCCCTTCAGATTCTGGGGCAGAGAGAGAGAAACACAAAGGGCAGGGGATCGACGGCATAGGGAGCTGGAGGACGGGGAGGTGGGAGGGGCTCCACGATGCCAATCACAATAAGGGAAGGCCGGTCGGATTAGGAAGCGGAGAAGTAAGCACGAGACCAGTGTTATCACCGGTCGCGATAGGACAAGGGCCAGGGGCAAACCCTGGGACACTGCGAGAGCGGGGGTCGCGCCAGACACTGCGGAGAAAGTGGCTTCGCGCACGCGCGCCACGCCCATCGAACCCGCCTAAGTCACGACAAGACAGTGGACACTCACGGGGGGCGGGACCGGTTAGCTGACTGCCCCCCTCTTCCGCCTTCCCTCGGTGATCCTGCAGAGCGGCGCACTCAACACACAGCACAACGTACACACATATACACAAACATACGCAAACACTCATATATGTACACACACACACTCACATACACACTACCCCGCGGCTCCACCCCCGACTTCCTCACGGTACCGTCACTTCCGGTCTCCCCCAACCTGCCACCGTCGGCCACTTCCGTTTCCCCGATCGTATTTGGGGATTGCAAGGCGGTACTTCCGGCTACCCCCAGGTCCCCAATCTTTCCTTTTGTTGGGTACAACGAAAAATCCGCAGCCCCCAACGAAGTGAATCCCTGGGGGTGAGATGGGCTGGGGCCGGCCTAGATGGGAGTAAGCCCAGCACCCCGAAGAGCCACCACCACCGCCGCCCGGGGGACCCTACTGCGCCTGCGTAAATTGCACTACGCATGCGTACATCCTTAAGCACGCCCCACCTCCAACCCCGCTTCTCCTGCGCGCGCGTTTGAGCCCTAGAAGTTTGAGGTGGCCACAATAAATCCCTGAAAGTAAATTACCAGATGGAAATCTATAACTGCTCGAAGCTGTGAACTGTTCCTTGGCTCTTGGAGTTTGGCGACTTGGGATTATGCCTCTTTTAATTTATGTCAAAGTCCTGGCAGGCAGAGACTTTCAGGAGGCATTGATCTCGCCACCTAAAATTCAGCCTTCTGGTCTTTGCAGCCTTCGCCACGCCTTCCTTCGGCGCCTCCGGAAGTTATTCTTCCCCCGGAGGTTGGAGGATACTCGCCTGCTGTCTGTTCTGTTCGTGCGGTCCTATAGTCTGCGGGTCCTCGGTTCTCCACCCAGTGGGCGTTTACAGCGGGGGGGGGGGAGGTCCGTGCGCCATGTTCCGTACCGTATGTATACGGCCGAGGGGACACGTTATGCTTTTGTAAAGCTAAGGATGCTGCTACCTTTTAGAAGTTTTATCAGGAAAATTCCCAAGGTTGGGAATTGGGAGCAAGTAGAGTCAGACTGGACTGAAAGACGAAACTCTTTAACTAAGGGGTTTCGCAGGCCCAGGCTGAAGGAGTTATTACCCCTCTGTGCCCTTCCCCCAATGACAAAGTCCTGGGTCCCGCGACTCTAAGACTTCAGCTAGACCCTTCAGTTCCGGGGTCCCTGCTCCAGAGGCTGCCTTTCCAAGATTCATAGTTTTTATATACCCAATTCCCAATGAAGAAGTCTAATAAGCACCTGTCCAGTGCGCACTTACTTTGTGCCAAGCACTATACTAAAATCTTTACGTTACCGTTCTCATATTTAAGTCTTCAAACATCGGAGGAAGCTATTAACTATTTTATAGTTGACTACACGTTAAGTGAAGGTAGTGGCGGAACTGATTATCAGTTCCAGGCCTGCCAGACTCCAGCTCGAGCATTTCTATTTTGCTTCTCCTATAAATTGTATTTTTATTTTTATATAGCCAAGTAGAATAGCGTAATGAACACTCATATTCATCACCCAGATTACTTTTGGTTTTGTTTGGTTTCAACTAAATCACAAGACCATAACAAGCCCACCTCTCCGGGACAATTTTTTTTTTTGGCAGCCTGTAGAAATAAGGAAGCCCCACTTCTCACTGCACTAACTGTCCCACCCACTTGGCACTACCCAATTACTACCTCGTGAGAACTCTTTTTTTTCCTTTACCTGCCACTCCTCGGAAGGAAGGTTGGGTAATCCTACTTCCTACTTCCGTAGTGATACTGCCTCGGAAACCCAAGGAGGGGTCGCTATGAGTCAGGTTTGACTCCACGGCACATAACAACAACAACTATTACTTGAGAACCTATTAGCCACCAAAACCAAACCAAACCAAACTCATTGCCATCCAGTTTGTTCCTATTCAGTGACCCCCATTGGGTTTCTGAGGTGGTAAATCTTTATGGAAGTAGATTGCCCGAACGTCCTTCCTCAGAGTGGCTGGTGGGTTTGAACCACCAACTTCTGGTTAGCAGTCAAATGCCTTAGGCACTACACCACCAGAGCTCCTTTGTTACCACACACCAACCACACACTGCCATCAAGTCGGATCCGACTTATGGCGACCCCTCCTTGGGTTTCTGAGGCAGTTATCGCTACAGAAGTAGGTTGCCCAACCTTCCTTCCAAGGAGTGGCTGGTGGGTTTGAACCACCAGCTTTGTGGTTAGCAGTCAAATGCTTTAGGCACTATGCCACCAGAGCCCCCAGCTCCTTTATTAGCCACCAGAAGTTGTACTAAGTGCTTGCAAACATTACTATGGCAGTGAATACTTAGAGATTACCAAATGATGGATTTTGCTAGACTTTATGTGTATTTTCTCACTTAATTCTATTGATGTGCCCCATTTTGCAAATTAAGAAAGCAGCACAAAGATTAATAAAATTGGTCAAATTCTAATAAGTAGTAGAGTTGGGGTTCAAACCCAGCTCTTCCCAACACCAGTCTCTTAGCCATGAGATTATGTAGTCTTTTGCTTAGCAGTCGATGTTGAATGAACGAACTCACTTTGTCAGCAAACTTCCAAGAGCACACAGTTTCCCCAGTTATAAATTCCTTCAGAGAGAGAGCCTCCCACCCATTACCCCCACTACCTCGTTCACACCTGCTTGAAAGTACTTATCAAGCTGTACTGCAATGATTTGTTTGCACAGCTAGTTTTCCCTAGACTTCTTCAAGGCCAGGGACTATGTTTTATTTCGCCTTATGTCCTCAGAGCTTAGCCAGTTCCTGGCAAACAGCTGGGACTCAAAACCATTGCCTAAGTGAACGAATGAAAAACTCCATCTACCAACCCCTCTTCAATGCTGCACAATATAGCAAATATCTGGCTCAGATATGGGTTGATAAGCTCAGCTCTCATAACTCCTGAGAGATCCTGGACATGCAAGGTGGAGTGGTTGCATCTACAGAAGGGGGAGGAAGGGCCAAACCCTGTAAGTAATACAGGTTTAGGTTGGAAAACAAGGTTGAAGTTACTCATTAGCAGGTGAAGGAGTCAAGGGTCAAGGCAAGGGGGCTGGGAGCAGAGTGCACTGAGCAGCCAGCAGGGGCGTGAGCAGTTAAGGCACCAGACACCCCACACAGGGCATTGGCTCCCTCCTGCTTGAAGATGTTCCACCAAATCTGGGCAGCTCTGCTCTACCTCTACGGCATTCTCCTTAACTCCATCTACCAGTGCCCTGAGCACAGTCAACTGACAACTCTAGAAATGAATGGGAAAGAGGTATGGACTGGGAAAGAGGTATGGACTGGGAATGAGGGACTGGGAATGAAGTGGAGGCTCTAAGGGACTCAGGTGGGTGGCCTAGGATGATCAGAAGCCACTGGCAGAGGAGAGTAGGAAGAGAGTGTGAGTGTTGTGATGATGAAAGCAGGAATAAGAAAAATACTAGGACTGTAGTCAATGTGGAGATGGCAGAATTGGGGGTGGGCTGGTTAATCAGGTTAATTAGGGAGGATCAGAAGAAAAAGCCATTGATGACTATCATAACTCCATCCCCCAGATGGAAAGAGGAAAGCAGTCAACACCCCAACCCCTAAGTCTTCTTGTGCTGGCTGATGAAGTAACTGGATGGATCCTATGATGGGACCATCCTCTTTTGCCCCTCTCATTGTCTCTCCAGTTTCCAGAGCCCCACCTGGGCCACTGGTACTTTATCGCAGGGGCAGCTCCCACAAAGGAAGAGTTGGCGACTTTTGACCCTGTGGACAACATTGTCTTCAATATGGCTGCTGACTCTACCCCAACACAGCTCCAGCTTTGTGCTACCATCCGCATGTGAGTGGTGAGAAGGCAGAGGCACCCGTGGGTAAAGTCTCTGACCAAAATGTGAGCAATCACCACCACGAGCCATGCTCTTAGCTGATACAGCCACTGTTCTTGGCCCACTTAATTCAAAAGTTCCATTAGTTTCTCTCTGGACAGAGATGTGCATAAACATCCCTTGGTAACTTGAAATCTGAGGAGATCCAGGCTTCACGGAGAAATAAGATGGAATAAATAGAGGCTGATGTGTGTGGCTGGAGTATCACTCAGTCTCTCCTCTATGCCACCACCTCTGCAGGAAAAATGGGCTCTGTGTGCCCCGGAAATGGACCTACCACTTGACTGAGGGGAGCACTGATCTCAGAACAGAAGGTTGGTTCCCTCCAGACCTTACCCTTCCCAAGTCCCCTGGGCTTGCTTGGTTTTGCATCTCTCTTTGCCCACTCCCCCAACCCAACCTCACAGGCCGCCCTGACATGAAGACTGAGCTTTTCTCCAGTTCATGCCCAGGTGGAATCATGCTGAAAGAAATGGGCCAGGGTTACCAGCGATTCCTCCTTTACAGTGAGTGGGGGTGCAAGGCAGGAAGGGTCAGAAGGAAAGGAGAGGGCAGGACAACCCCTCACCAGGTGGTGTGCTGAGGAGAAGGTACTCAGCTAGCCTGGTCCTGTTCTGCCCTTTCAGATCGCTCACCATACCCTCCCAAGAAATGTGTGGAGGAATTCCAGTCTCTGACCTCCTGCTTGGATTCCAAAGCCTTCTTACTGACTCCCAGGGATCAAGGTGAGGGGTTCAAGTCCCACAGTAGAAGACTAGGACTGAGCAAGTCTTCTGGGAGTACTGGATGAAAGTGGCTTATATGACATCATAGGAGGACATGACCAAAGCTGACATCATCAGATTGGCTATGTTGGCACTCCCATTGTCTCATGCCACCAGAGGCATGTGGCCAAGGGCTATGATGTCACCTGAAGAAGCCAGGCTGGGTTCTGGGCTACTCAAAAGAGGGGTTTCTGCATTTGCAGTTGGTGAAGGGTCAAACACAGAGGGAAAAATGCCTCAGAGATCCCTTTTTAAAAAGGAACACGGCAGAATGAAGGAACGCATTCTTCCCCGTGCTATTAGCATCAACCTTGCTTCTCCCTGCTCTTCCTTCGTTTCCATCTTCTCTTTTCTCCCTTCTACCAGAGGCCTGTGAGCTGTGCACTAACTGACCTGTGGCTTCATCTGTGCCCCAGATGGATACTGCGGGAGCTGTGATGGTAGTGGGGAGGAGACTAGCTAAAGACTCCCTTTCAAGAATAAAGATATTTTTCAATCCTCATTCTGGGGCTTGTCTCCAGATACCAATCCCACTCTCCACATTTCAACACTCCCACTAAATCCCCAGCTGGACGGCGTCAGGAAGGACACTGAATGGTGATTAACTCTCACTTTGTAGTGGTATATTTAGGATTGGGTGTGACAGTTATTTATTGCTGAGTTAGCAAACCCCTAACCCTCGAGTGGGACTGCAAGCTCCAGTGCTTCCCCCATGCTGCCTGCCTGACCTGCTTGAACCATCCCTGTTTCCTCTGGCCCCTGTGAACACCCAGATCCTCACACAGGCTCCCTGTACTCTGTGGGCCCTCATCCAGGCCCCCCAATCCAACTGCCTAGCAGCCTACTCTTCCAGGAAGGCTAACTAGGATCCAGATCTCTTGGGTGACCCAATCATCCTTTTATCCCAGAGGTCTGTCTGTCATCCTACCTCTGTTTTCTTCAACCATTGGGGAGTTATAAAAGGTGGAAAGAACCTTTAGTATTTATACCCCCCTTAAAAAAAAAAAAAAAAAGTGGAACAAAGAGAAATGTAAAACGTGACAATAGCTGGTGAATCCAAGGGCAATGCCCTCACTATCCATAATCGCAGACACCCTAAAGCAGCCCTCTTCTTTCCTGTATGTGAAAGGGACCCTGCACCCTCATGCCCTGGGTTTTCTTTCACCATCCCTGAGGTCCCTGTGCTCCTGATCTGGGCCATGCCCCCCACTCTCCTCCTGAAGGCCACACTGTCTTCACCACTTGCCCCCGCGCCACTGAGGGTAGGACCCTGGGTCACACCTCACCCCCGGGTCACAGCCCCTGTCCTGGATCTCCCCTCTGCTCCTCATCCTCCTTCCCCAGTCCCTCTCCCTCCCAGTCAGTGGCCTCCTCATCCTCGCTGGGCTCCCGGAGGCTGACAGCCAGCACCAGGGCCTGCAAGAGGCCAAAGAGGCAGGCAAAGTGGAGGGGGTGGGCAGTAAGGAGGCTCAGCACAGCGTGCAGCCCATGCAGGGCAGCCAGGAAGGACAGCAGCCCATGCAGCCAGAGACCCAATGGTCCACGCAGGCCCAGTGCATCCAAGGCTGCCCGAAGTGGCCTCGAGCACAGCCCCAGCAGGGCTGAGGCCAGCAGCTCCAGCAGGTGCAAGGTCAGGTTGGTGGAGATCTGCAGACGTTCCTCTGGGCCCCCCAGGTATGGTGGGGGAGCTCCTACGCCACCACCTGATTCCCCCCGCAGCCAGCCCAGCAGCTTCTGATGCCGACTTGGCTTCTCTACTGGGGCTTCTAGTCCAGGGGCGCTCAGTCCAACTTCAGGGGGCACCCCAGGTCTCCTCGCACCTCCTGAGTCTACAGCATCCTGTCCCAGTTTGCCAACGGCCCCTCCAGCCTCCATTCTCCCAGATTCTTCAGTGCCAGTGACAGCTTTGTCCAACTTGAAGGAATCCATTCTTTTGCTCCCCAGTTGAGCAACTGGGGGGGCCTTGCTTGGCTCTGGAGCAGTCCTAGAGCTCTTCTGTGCCTCTGAGTCCTTGGCCTTGGGAGGCCCCGTATCTCCTATGGTTTCGGGAGCACTGTCCCAGTCACTTCCTGAATTCTCTGGGGAGCTGTCCACCCATCTGGGTTCTGGGGCAGACAGGTCAGGCTTCGTTGGTTTCCGGCGGCCCCAGGGGCGAGGTAGCCAGCTACCTAGTCGTCGCAGGAACATGGCTGGGGTGCTTAATGAGCCCCCAAACTCTGGGTCCCCTTCCTGGCACTTCTCAGACTCTCAGGTTGGGTCAGAAAAAGAGATGTCTGCTTGGTGATGCCGTCTTACTCTGAATTCAGAAGTGGCTTCCCATTTCCCCGGATGGTCATGCAGCCTCAAGTGTGGGACAGGATGGCACCGCTTCCTTTTCAGTTTGCAGGTAAAGAAAGAAGGCAACCCAAGTTCATTCACCCCTTACACACACACACACACACACACACACACACACGTCTCAGGATCTGACAAGGCCTGGGTCACCCCCTAAAAGTGCCCTCCCTGTGTCTCTGAGTTTCCCCAGCAGGCAGCACCCCAAGTTTCACTCACCAAGGCCACGCCCCAAGGTGCCCCAGAAACTGGGGAGGCGGTGCTCCATTCAAGAAGGAAGAAAGGTGGCCACGGGTCCTAAGTACTCCTGGATCTATCTGGGAAGTCTTGAACTGGTGCCCTAGGGGAACGCAAGGAGTAGGAAGTGTCCTTGTTGAGGGAGGGGGTGTCCAGCAAACTCCAGCCAGCAGCGTTAGTCTCTTGATTGAGCGTTTGTATCTCGACTATGCACAAAGTTGCCTGACCAGTCCCCGAGCGCGCGGCTGAGACGCGGCCTCCCCAAGGTCAGGCTGGGAATGTCCTCGGTGATTCCCGTAGCGGGGGCAAATCACGAGAGCGCCTGAGGACCCAGGCGTCCCGGCGCACAATGCGGCGGCCCTACCCCTACCCAGCGGAGGGCCAAGGCTTCACGGATCCCCCAGGAGCTGCGGAGCCCGGAAGCAGCCACACCGGGACCGGAGGAAGATGCGGGGCGGAGCTTGCAGCTCGCGGGGCGGACCCTGTGGATCGACCGCCCCGCGCTCTCAACGTTTGCCATTCGTACGCTCTGGGCTTTACCACTGGGCACTGGTTGGATCCGTGAGGTCCAAGCCAGAACAGAAGCCCAGTCTTCCATTCAGAGGCCCCAGTGCTTCTCTAAACTCAAACTGGAAGGCTAACCTCTAGTTCTTGTCCTGGGGCTCTTCCCTGCACCCCTCCCCACTCCTGCATTTGGCGAATTCCCTTTTCTTGTCCCTGATTTCATGAAAGACTTTTCCACAAAGGAAAACGATAAAGGAAGTCTTGGAACTTGGGTAGCCCTTTTCTGTCACTCCATGCAGGTTTCTCACTGGATGTGACAATAACGAACTCTACTTGCCTGGCACCTCTGTATGCACAAGATACAGAAGTGAAGATTGTGGAAGGGTGGGAAAAATAAGTGTAAACAAGTAGGATGTGCTTCCTGACCTCAGGTTTCAGGTAATGAAATGAAGAACCTTGCCTTAAAAGTTGAGTTGAAAAGCCAAAGTTACAGTCACAGGTCAGCCAATGGTGTACAAGCTGGATGGTCAAAGTCTCTGGGCCCTTCACTACACTGGACTCCCTGTAAGAACAGACCTCTTCTCTGAGCCTTTCCTGGCTGCCTCTCACCCCCAATCACCACAAGACTATCTCAACCTCTAGTTAGGAGATCCCTGAGGGTCGGGGATGTTTCTCATTCATGTTATTCACACAGTATATGAATGTTTGTGAAATCAGAGATTGAAGTGGCTAGAGTGGTCACAAGACTTGCATGGAGCTGCAACTGGCTCCAGGTTCAGGGGATTTGAAGGAATAGATGTGGTGGTCTTGGCAGGGGCTAGGCCTTGAAGTGAACCAGATTGGTAGGGAGATGATCCTATCATGCTACCTAAAGTTGGCTGCTCCTTCTGGCTTCCATGGGCCTTGCCAATATGGCCCCCAGACTTAAGTCTGGCTTCCAGAAAAATGAATAGACCACAAAAGAGGATGAAGATTGATTTATTTCTCAACTCTCAGCACTCTACCCCTCCCAAAAGGCAAAGCCCATTGACCAAAACCTGACAGTCTGGGACGTGACAGACCTCAGGAAGTACAGATCAAAGTGTCCAAGTCAGAGGCCAAAGTTCAGACTCTAGCAGTAGACCAGGGTCAATCTTCACTAACGTCAGATCTCAAGGTTCATGTATATCCTGAGAGCTCTCTCCCAAGCCCTACCCTTCTCCTCTCGCCTTCTTTCTTCTCTCCGACTCAGTGTGGTTACCCGAGGGGCTCGCTCCCTTCCAGCCACAGCCCGGGTATCCAGAGCCTGGAAGTGTGTGACTCGGGGCTGGGGCGCTGATCTGTAGCCAAGTCCCTCCTGGTCCCTCTTGAGGACAGTAGAGATAGGATTGGCGCGGCCCTCCCCTCGGGGTCCCAGCCCCATCCCTGGCTCCCAGCCTCCCCTCAGCAACAACTTGAAGCCTGGGCTGGAGGCTGGCACCCCAGGGGGAAGGTTGGGGGGGCAGGGACTCCGGGACAACGACAGCAGGTGAGCAGTGGACGTGCAGTGGTTTGCATCTTGGAAGTGGGCATCACAGGTCTCACAATACTGGGGAGAACGAGAGTGGGGCCTGCAGAAAAGAAGAGTTGAAAGACAGTGTTATGTATCAGGAAAAGGATTCAGAAGCCTAGGGGGGCTGGCAGAGTGGGACAAGGTCTTTTCTGCTAAAGAACAAATTGTCTACCTCCCCACTTAGCATTGAGGAGCCTAGAGGGGAAAGGTTGGGAGAACCGATGATAACCAGACATCACAAAGCTCAGGGGAAGGAAGGAAGAGTAACATAACAGTAACAGTTAATATTTATGTAGTGCTTACTATGTGGCAAAGGAATAGTTAAGCACTCTGCCACTAAATGGTTCACATTTTGAACCCACCAAGGACATCAAGGAAGGCAGGTCTGGCAGTCGGCTTCCAAAAAGGTCCAAAGTCAAAAACCAAACTCATTGCCGTTGAGTTGGATCCGGCTCATAGCTACCCCTCCTTGGGTTTCCAAGGCAGTATCACTAAGGAAGTAGATTGCCCAATCTTCCTTTCGAGAAGTGGCCGGTGGGTTTGAACAGCAAGTCAAATGCCTTAAGCACTACGCTACCAGAGCTTGGTCAAAGCCTTGAAAATTTATGGTGCAGTTCTACTCTGCACACATGACGTTGCCATGAGTTGGAATTAACTTGATGATAACTAATAACAACAACTATGTGGCAAGCACTGTTCTAGTACTTTGCACCTATTAGCCATTTCATCTTAACATCCCTACAAGAACTCTCAGATTAGGAAACTGAGGCCAATAGCTGTTAGGTTGTTTGCCCAAGTGGAGTCAGGATTCAAACTCAGGGAGCTCATGTCTGTAAACCATACTACTGCACTACTTTATCAATGACATCGGGGCAGGAGGATCCCTCAGCTCTTTCTGGGGCCTCTGGTGCAAAGTGACTAAGAAGGACAGAACATACTGAAAAATGTATGAGCTAAGGTTTCCTCACCAATGCTCAGGGTTCCTTGTCTCTCCATGGCTCTCCCTGACCATGCGAGCCACTTCAGGGAAACCAGCTTCTTCAGCCAGCTGGGCAGCATCCCGGCCACCTAGCTCACAGACTCCCACCCAGGCAGCCCCTCGGCCCAAGAGATAGCGCACAGCTGCCCCCTGGCCTGCTCGAGCAGCACACATCAGGGGAGTCCACCAGAAGGTATCATGAGTGTTGATATTTCCTCCAGCTCCTCCTGCCTCACGGGGCTCCAGGAGCCTTCGGAGTTCTGCCAGGTTCCCCTCCTGAGCTGCTTTCAATATCCACTGGGTCATCTTGTCCTCTGTCTCAAGGGTTCCTTCTTGTCCATGTCCCCCTGAAGCTGCTGCTGTCCGTGCTTCTGCCACAGTCTCCCTCATCAGTCTTCTTTTCTTCCTCTTTCTCTCCCTGGCAGGCTCAGGCTTCGATCTCTGGGGTTCAGGAGGGCTGTTGTCACTTCCAATCAGGGACTCATAGAAAGCACGGACTGCAGACCCATCCAAGGGGGACTCCAGCTCCTCAGGCTGTGGTTGCTGCTGCTGCTGCCCATCTTTCCAAAGGTCACTAGACTCGCTGGCTGGGGTGAAGGTGATGAGGGAGGGCCTGGACATGGCTTTTTGGAAAGCTGAGAAAATAAGACTGGGCAAGGAAAGGCTGAGACAAGCAAGCCAACTCCCAAAGGCCCCTGCAAAGACCAGATCCACAACCAGGAAGCTGCCGGAATAATGAAAAGTAGTCTTAGAGTCCCCGCTCCCGCCCCAAAAGTGACCACACAACCTAAGACACGGCAGGGCCTAATGGCTATAGGTCACATATAAAAACAGGAAACACTACAACAAACCTGCTCCTTGCTAAATGTCAGCCAAAAAAAATTTCCATGAGAGCATTGCCAGAGGCCCTAATCCTGCCCCGCCCCGTTCCTATATAATTCCCAGTTCTCATACCGTAAATTGAGATTTAAAAAAATAATAATTTTTTTTTTTAAATCAGGTTGACCCTTTAAATCTTAGTCTCTTCTATTTCGGTGTTTCGTCTTTCACACAAAAAACAGTCGTGACATTTCTCCGGAAGCAGATTTCAGGAAGTGGCTCCGCCTGCGTGGCTTTGCAGCTTCCGTACAGCAAAATGGCGCCACTCTAATAATAAGAGATGCTCAATCAACGCATGCGTGGTGGTGGTGGTGGTGGGGAAGCAAAGCCATCATTACCTCACTGCGCAAGCGCACGAAGCGCCCTGATCAGTTTCCCCGCCATGGAATCTTTCCAAATAGTCTATGCGCAAAGGGCCGCGTGCCCAGGAGGCGCGAGAACTGAGGACGAACTGTCAGTTGGGGGTCCTGCTTTTACATTACGCCCCACAATGCCCTTCGCCTCCCTCGAGGTGGCCCCCCTCTCCGAGATAATTTTCTGGAGCTGGGGAACCATTCCCTGAGGAGTAGGGAAATCTGTGGAATGCTAAGAAGCTGTGAAATGAAATAACATCACGCTGTCCCTGGCCCTAACTCTGACCAGGGTTCGAAGGTCACGTTTAGAGCCCGCAACAGAAGGCTCCATTCAAGTCCTAAGAGAATATGGAAAAGTGCAAGGGGACTAGCGCCAGGATGTCTGGTGCCACCTCAGGTTAGCGCCCAAGGCCGTCCAGGCTCTCAATCACCCAGCCCGCACACCCTACTTACCTGGGTCCTTCAGCTTGGACCCGGGCCGCACCTCCTGCCTCGGGAGGCCTATGGGGGAGAGGAAACTCCAGGGGCGGGCCTGACTCCAGCAAGGGACGGACCTATCGTGTTTTTACGCAAATAACGCGCTATGTACTTTTTTGATTGCAAAGCACGCAACCCCCTCGTGCATTGTTTTCTATGGTTAGGGGCGGGCGCCAGGACCTGATGATCCAGCAGTGAGCAGAGCTGCGGGAAGGGACTCCAGCCTGACTGGCTCTTTTCCCCGTCCCCGCTCGGCCCCTCCATCCCAGGAGCGCAGGACTATATCTCCCAGGCGGTATTGGGTTTCCGCTTCCGGTGGCGCCTGGCTGCGCCCCGCCCCCGAGCGTCCTCCTCGCGGGCCCCGCGAATCAGGGTCGTGTACAGGTCATCCTGGGATTCGTAGTTCGCTTTTATCTCGTTTCGCCAGTTTCTCCTTACAAGGGACTCTATTTCCCGGCGTTCACACCAGCTACTGAACCTTGGCGCTTGCGCG